CACCAACTTCCGCCGCGCTCTCATAAACCTTTCAAGCTCCGATGCTCCGTCGCCGAGGGCCCCACAATTTCCGCTTCAAAAATCGATGGCGGAGAATCATCCATCGCGGATTGCGTGATCGTAGGAGGTGGCTTCAGTGGACTATGCATTGCTCAAGCTCTCGCCAAAGACAGAATCGGTGGCAACATCAGTACCGTTGTGAGAGATGGGTATCTGTGGGAAGAAGGACCCAACAGTTTCCAGCCATCCGATCCTATTCTGACCATGGCGGTAGGTTTCTCTTAATCAGCATTTTGCTGAATTACATTTCCTGTAATTAATTATGCGAATGATTTTATTTTTTGCTGCTCAATTGTACTTCATTGCACCAGGAATTTCAGGTTTACTAATTATGTTAGTATCCATATAAACGTGTTCTTATTGTTATAGGTGGATAGTGGATTGAAGGACGATTTAGTTTTAGGTGACCCTGATGCGCCGCGATTTGTACTATGGGATGGGATACTAAGGCCTGTACCCGCCAAGCCAATCGACTTACCGTTTTTTGATCTGATGAGCATTGGTGGAAAACTTAGGGCTGGATTTGGTGCTATCGGCATTCGTCCTCCTCCTCCAGTTTGTTCTCTTCACTTTCTTATAATCTTTTTCATTTGTTTGGTTATACATCAGAAGTGTGTGGCATTCTTGTATTTGCAAACTGTTTTTATATGTTGAAGTTTCTCATATGGTAAGACTTTTGGCAAAGGTGACAGGGTCATGAAGAATCAGTGGAGGAGTTTGTGCGTCATAATCTTGGTGCCGAGGTTTTTGAACGCTTGATTGAACCCTTTTGTTCAGGTTCTGATAATCAGTGTCTTTTATTCTTGGTTTATTTGTCTCATTTTGCAATGAACCACTTCCTTTAAATTTAGCATTTTTCAATTTAGAGGTTCTCGAACCTTAGAACTTATATTTAAATTCATTTTATCTCTTTTAATCAATTCACGATTGTTATACCTCAAAAACTGTTATTGCTGCAGGTGTTTATGCTGGGGATCCGTCAAAGTTAAGCATGAAAGCGGCTTTTGGACGGGTATGGAAGCTTGAAGAGATTGGTGGTAGCATCATTGGTGGCACTTTCCAGACAATCCAGGAGAGAAATAAGACACCTAAGCCACCCAGAGACCCGTAATTATGAACATACTAGGCTTCTTATTTGATTATTTCATGATGTTTATAATCATCGCACTAATTGGTTATCTTACAAGCATCTACCAAAGCCCAAGGGCCAAACAGTTGGATCTTTTAGGAAGGGGCTTGCCATGCTGCCTGAGGCAATTGCTACTAGGTTGCCCTGTCACTGTTCTAGTTATGATTTAGCCACTGTAGTGGTTTGAAAGTTTCAACGTGCTTCTGTGCCCATCTTTACATTTCAGGAGTCTGGATCCTAATTAGTTGTCTTGACCTGGCAGTTTGGGTAGAAATGTAAAACTATCATGGAAGCTCTCCAATATAACCAAATTAGGAAGTGGAGGGTATAGCTTGACATATGAAACACCAGAAGGAATAGTCTCTCTTCAGAGTAGAAGTGTTGTCATGGCCATTCCATCTCATGTTGCCAGTAACTTGTTGCATCCTCTCTCGGTATAATTCAATATCTTCCTGCTCCTTGCTAGACGTCCGTTTATGAATGTGGTTAATATCTAGCATGGAAGGTTCAGTCCTTTATGTTGCTCCGTTTGAATTCTGAGTGAAGTATATACTTCTCCCAAATTTGATAGAATGCATATTGGCCTCGTTTGGACTGCTGAATTGTGCATCTTTTATGTGGTCTGCCAGCATGCTAAATCGTTTTAGATATTCAGCTTTATGTGAGTCCAGTTTCTTTAGAAATGTTCCATGTATGCTCCTTTTGTTGGTGGATCTCTACTACTTTCCTGGTATACCAGTAATGTGTATTCATGCCTTAAAAAAATACTTTTATCAACAAAGGGAAAATGTCTGAAGGAAATGATTGCCTAAAAGAGTTATTGAGGCCATGTTCTAGTTCTTTCCTAATTTAGTTTAGAATTTTACTATTACTTCAGTCTTTTATCCATTTTTGCATTCTCTTTGTAGGCTGCAGCTGCAGATGCACTAATACAATTTTATTACCCTCCAGTGGCGTCAGTCACAATCTCATATCCTTAATAAGCTATTCGAAAAGATCGCTTGATCGATGGTGAACTTAAGGGTTTGGCCAGTTGCACCCTCGCAGCCAAGGAATTGAAACTTTAGGTAACTCTATAATTCCTGAAAGTAATGTAGCCTATTATTATGCTGATTGTTGTTTGCAGTAACAGTTTGTTTTGAGAAATTTGATTGATGTACAAAAATCTTGCAGGGACTATATACAGTTCATCACTTTTCCCCAACCGAGCTCCACCTGGCCGGGTATTGCTTTTGAACTACATTGGAGGAGCTACCAACCCTGGAATTTTGTCTAAGGTAGACATCGTTTAAGATATAGGATTTGTTTTATTTTTAAAGAAAATGCAGTTATGGATAAGTACACATTATGGTAAATGTAGATGGCCTCGTGCACTATATGCAGAAAAACAAATTTGTAGTTGTAGTCCACTAGAGGATATAAAGAACCTGTATGATCATGGACTAACTAGTCTGCAAGTAAGTGTTTCATATAAGATGGTGAAGATCATTGACAGTTCCAACTTTTATCACAACCATGATTTGTCACATGAACCTAAAAATAATGCTTTCCATGATTCGGAATTCATTGCTGAAATGAAGTGGCTTGTTTTAGGAATGTGTAGATCATCTAAATATTTGCATGATTCTGTTCATGAACTACTCTTCCTTTTGGTTTGATGTGTATTATGAACCTAAAAATAATGCTTTCCATGATTCGGAATTCATTGCTGAAATGAAGTGGCTTGTTTTAGGAATGTGTAGATCATCTAAATATTTGCATGATTCTGTTCATGAACTACTCTTCCTTTTGGTTTGATGTGTATTATGCACATTTTTCTAATTCTAGAGACTAGAAACTTATTCTTGAAGTTTGTTCTTTTCCCCTTAATATGGTTATATTTTTAAATTCTGATTGATGCTCTGCTTTTTCTTCTTCAGACTGAAGGGGAACTTGTAGAAGCAGTTGATCACGATTTGAGAAAAATGCTAATAAATCCTAATGCAAAGGATCCTTTTGTTTTGGGTGTGAGAGTATGACCAAAAGCTATTCCACAGTTCTCAGTTGGTCATTTGGATCTCCTTGATACTGCAAAAACTGCTCTCAGAGATTCTGGATTCCATGGCCTGTTTCTTGGGGGCAACTATGTCTCTGGTGTGGCATTAGGACGATGTGTGGAAGGAGCTTACAAGGCTGCAGCCGAAGTGGAGGAATTCCTGTCAAATTATGCATACAATTAATATTGGAACTTAAGTCGTCAGGCTGCAAATGAAGAAATCTATTGTTGGGTAGTATCTCTTCAGCTAAAAAGTTGGGTAGGGTCTTGTTGTTAGTTTCTTGATTGCTTTAGGAATTTTTTTATTAGAATTGGGGGAGGCATCATGAATTAAGAATTGGAACATAATATTATAACTTCTCATCTTTCTAACATGATTTTGCATGTTACGTTGGCATACTAAAATGAATGGGTGACGACCATCGGTTTTGTCTTTCGGTCGTAAATCTTTTCACTATTGTGATGGGTTTTTTTTTATTAAGCGCCGCAATACAATATTTCAATTTATAGTTGATGGAAGCGTGTTAAAGAGTTTCAATCGGTAGCTTGCCGAGCCAATTTATTGTATTGCAGTGTTAAAAAAATAACGGTAGTGATCATATGTCCAAGCTGAGGGGCCGGGGCACGAGTGGTCGTTGTGATTATAATACACCACCGTTGTATTTTATGGGTAATTTAGTTTACCAAATGTAAGATTATATTTCCGTTACTTTTGCACGGTTATCATCCACAGATGTTAGGGCACCCTATGTTCGCTCCAAACAAGCTATCTGCATTGTCGACGATGCAGTCATGGTAACGACCTGCTTCTATTGTTGATTTTGAAACAGTTTCCGCAGCCATTGCTTCTGATCCGACTATTTTGAGAGTTATGGAGCACCAACAAGTAACAACGATGGGAATAACAGTTTCTCCAACGGGGTCCATAATCTTCCTGGATCACCACAGCTCCCACAGTCTTTGCACCACCTCCTCCACTAACTAGCTCAGGATATGTCTTCATCTTTTTGGAAAAAGCTTAAATAGCCAAATCGAGAGAAGCGTCCATCTCTTTTAAGATCAATTAATAGGTAGTCCCAGGCGCCATTTAATATGCCATTATGATCGGACGTGCAGTTTGATCAATGACTTTGCTTTGTCCATAATTAAATGAAGTTTATATGAAGAGATAGAGTGAAACTACATGCATGCATTCGCTCGAGTTTATATGTTTTTTTTCAATCATCAATATTTAATATATTCATCGATATATTCCATAAAATAACATCATCTAACTAAATACTTTAGTTTCATTTGAAATTTTCAGCTAATAAATTTATTTCGAGTTTTGTAGCTTTGGGCTTGTATTTAATTGGCTAAAACGTTGAGGGCTTCCCAAAGTTTCAACTCGCCAGTTCATTATCATAGAGATTATAATAATTACGGCTGCTGGGCTGGCCCATGGAATGAGCGTAATGGTCCCCACACAAGATATTTGTCTTCTGAGCGCCCCCAAATATGGAAAAAGTAAACGATGAAAATGAATCACAGCCGCCAGATGAACTAAGAGACTTGATCTACATCTACGATCGCCGTTCAAATTTCAAACCGCCTTAATTTCAAAACAAAAAGGAAAAGAAAAAGAATTTCAAATTTCCTTATCAGAAGTCGACCGTTGGGAGGTAAGAGCCAAACATCTTTTCTTCTCTCAAGCTAAGCGTGAACTTCGAGAGAAATATTAAAAGCACAGAATATCTAACAAAGAAGAAGTTTCCGCTTAGAACTTCCAGTTCCTATCTATGGATGTTGGTTGCTAAATCGTTTAATTTATTTTAATTTTATCCAACGCCCACAAAAAAAATCTGTTGTTTTTCTTGGGTTCGAGAACGTTGAAGTTTTATGGCTATGAGGATCATGAGACGCCATGGTTGGCAGCGGCCTTTCCATCCTTTACAGGTAATTCAAACGATTTCTTAAACCTTTTTTCTGATGAATTCGTTGGGATGATACTTTGAATTGAATCAAAATGCTGGGATTTTTGCAGATGGTGGGAATGGCAATATACAGTTTTCTTGTTGTGGCCTTTTATACATTTTTAGGCCTTCTTCTCGGAAACAGAACCGCTGAGATCACTGTCACAACTCTCTTCTCCTTCGTGGTAATCTTCTCAATCAAATTTTTTGAACTTTTTCCAATCAACGGGAGTGCGCTGTTGACTTGCTTTTTTTTTTGTTGAAAAATTCCAGGCACTCTCAGTCATGTTCCTGTTTATTAGGTGTACTGCTATTGATCCTACTGATAAAACCAGCTCCAGGAAGAAGAAAAGAGGAAAATCTAAAGGGGTCTTGAAGCTAAATTATGGGTTCATATTGACCCAGATTGTTGTAAGATCTTTTAGGAGGCTAGAGAAGAAGATTCTAAGGACTTTTATAAGGAGGAAGTATCTGGATCCTCTCAAAACCAATGTCCAAATGGAACCATTACTACCATTTCCCCTTGTCATTAAGGATGATGCAATTTCTCCTGAACTTAAAGAGGATGACATATCCTATTGTTCTCTCTGTGATTTTGAGGTTTGCCTTTTGTGATGTGAACAATTCCATTTTTTTCTCCAGAAATTAGATCGGTTCTTTTCTTTTCTTGTCTTTTACATCTTTCTGTGGTTTATCTTAGGTGAAAAAGCATAGCAAGCATTGTAGGACTTGCAACCGGTGTGTCCAAGGCTTTGATCATCATTGCAGGGTAAGGACCAATTTCCGCCTTCAAAGTTTGTTCCTTTTGTTTTTTCAGTTTTCTGCATGTATTTGAGAAAGCAATTTATGTGTCTGTTGATATAGATTTGCTTGTTTTATCATCTGTTAGTGGTTGAACAACTGTGTAGGGAAAAGAAATTATACAACATTCATTCTTCTAATGATCTTTGTCTTGTTAATGGTAAGTGGTTTGAAATACCCCTAATTTCCTCCAAAAGAATAGAAAGCAAGTTTAATTCTGTTTACCCTGACTATCAAATCAAATACTTACAGCTAATCCTAGAAGGAGGAACTGCCATTGCCATATTTGTTAGGTGCTTTGTAGATAAGAAGGGAATTGGGAAGGAGCTGAAGAAGAGGCTGTATATAGAGTTCCCAAGAGAAGTTCTTGCCACAATAACAGTAAATATTGGCATCTCTTGCTTACTTTGAAAATCAAATATCTCAACTTCTTGTATGAATTTGCTCTGAACTCTTGGAAATTGTTGCAGTTATTGTTGGCCTTATTTACAGCTTATGGTTCAGCTGCAATGGGACAGCTTTTCTTCTTTCATGTTGTTCTTATAAGAAAGGTAAGTAAATTTTATCTTTTCCATTGTCAGTTTACGAGTCATTTTCATTCGATATTCTGTCATCTTCGCCGGGTAACCATTTGTAATCATAACAATTCTGAGAATGTCACATGCAAATTTCTTTACGTTTCCTTTGTAGAGGATTCAAGTTGTCACTATCTCTGCAATTTAACCATTGCGGTGATTGTTTTTACAGGGAATGAGAACATATTATTATATAATGGCAATGAAGGAGGAGGAGAACCAATTTACACTAGATCCATTTGACGAATCGGATGTTTCTTCGGATGATAGTTTGGATTTAGATTCACCTGAAAAACCATCTTTTATATCAAGGTTTATATGCAGAGGACAGGGAAGTCAGGTACATAAAAACAAGACATTTTCATCTAGGAAGTGTATCTAAAAGAATTTGAGCAGGTCCATCTAACTGGTCTGTTCGATTTCAGAACTCATCGAGATTGTCCATAAGAATTGATGGAGATCCTGAAGCTTCCACCTTAACCAGCAAGAAACAAGGGTTCCATGTAAGCATTGACCCTTGGAAACTGATAAGTCTTAGTAGGGACAAAGCTGTTCTAGCAGCAGAGAAGGCTAGAGAAAGGCTTAGGATGCAGAAGCCGGAGGTGGAACTTGATCCATTGAAGCCATTACCACTGGAGACAAAACGTGGGCCACTCCTGAACCCTGAAAGGAACATGGCCAATTCAGGAACAACGCCTCTCATCTCCAAAGCCAAACTACCTGGTTCACCGGTAGGGCTTACTAGTCCAAGGCGTCGGTTTTCAGGATCTCCTACAATGTTCTCTAGCGTTATGCCGTCACCAAAACAAAAGTATAGGAGCAATTTCGATCTGAAATTAACTGAGGTTTCCAGGGAGCTCGAAACATACATTTCAAGGCAGGTTTTATGTTCTGTTATAAAGAAAGATGGTAGTGAGGCATCTCCCAGATAAAGAAAAATCATTTCAATTTAAGGTTCTCAGCCTCTGAGAAAAAAAAAGATTCATTGGACTGTTTGTGTGCATTCTTGATGAAACATCTCAATCTCCTTCGATTTTATCTTCTTTTTTTCAAATCTTTTATGGATTTTTCAATTCAATCTTCAATTAGTGAAATACAGCTACAGTTTTCACAAACAAAACATGGGTCTAGCATGTCGTTTTCGTATTATTCTTGCTTCGGAACTTTCTCCACATCATTCCAGAGCAAGGAAAGTGTCTTTCCCTTTCATACCAAGATGCATGTTTCTAGGAAACTGGTTCGGCTAGACCACAGTCACAGTAAAGCAACTTGAACGGTGACACATTATACGTAAATATTTATGTGATTCTCTTTTCATTGAGCTTTTTGAACAACTTGTTCTTGCCAAAATTTGTAACAAGCCAAGAAAGAGTTGGAAAATGCCTTTGAAAGACAAGCTTAATTTTTCTAACAAATCACTCAATTATTTCTTACTGCAAACAAACTTACAAGAAACAATCTCTCTAACAAATGGACAACCACAAGCTAATCCAGTCAACTTTGTATGTTGGCCATCGTTTCCCTGGTGAGGTGACGACGGGCTGTTGTGTTGAGAAATGGCAAGAATAAAAATTCTGTACTAAAAAAATTCAAAATTCCAAACCAAGAACTTCTGTTTTGATTACCTGAACTATGCAAATGATTCGATAGATAGTAACAATCAGAATAATGCTTGGGGTAGATGCTTTCCTTTAGAGGTTCACAAGTTTCTGGGGAAACCAAGGCAGAGTACCCTTGAATGTACGAGCAGTTCCAAGGAGACTCCGAGGTTACGTTTAGAGTAATACTCAATAAGCAAAGATGACGAAAACTGTCCCCTTCTATGCCGTTGAGGAGGCCTGCAACTTTTATGTTATCTCCTCTGACGTCTTTAACAGTGATCCTTTCTATTACAGGGAGAGCATTTGGATCATAAAAATCATCTGGATGCTCGGAAAAATTACTATTGAACCTTATAGCTGTGTCTACACCAACCAAGGTAACATCTGATATATAGATATTTCTCACATAACCACCCCTTCCAGGAGCAGTCTTTATTATGATAGCCGTGCTTGTATTGAAAAAATAAAGGTTTTCTGCATGAACTTCAGAAACACCTCCGGACATCTCACTTCCAATTGCAATCCCAGAGCCGTTTCGATTGTGGCCAGTGAGCCGGTGGATGATAATATTTGTGCTGGGGCGGCCAAATGAAATTCCGTACTCATCCCACCCACTTTTGATGGAAATTAGATCATCCCCGGTGCTAATGTAACAGTCTTCAATGCACACATCATCAGAAGAATCTGCATGTATTCAGTAGAATGTTGTGAATAGTTCAAGACTTTGATAATTCGAACAAAATTTCCAGGTTAGCATAAAGAATTCACCTGGATCGATCCCATCCGTGTTTGGTGAATCCAGAGGAGCCAGAATTGTGACATTCCGGACTGTGACGCGGCTGTGCATCGAGAAAATAAAAGTCACAACTTTACTGCAAGATTTGAAGAGCATGCTAATATTAATTAACGAGGACCACTAACCTGCAGTATACCGGATGGATTGTCCAAAATGGAGAATTCAAGAAATTCAAGTTTGAGATTAAAACCCCAGTTGAGTTCATCAACTCAACCAAATGGGGCCGAGTATAGTTCAGAGTTTTACTTTGAAACCAGTTCCACCAAACACTGCCTTGGCCATCGATAGTTCCATTGTCACCTGCATGGGAAAGCATTGGCATCAAGGATAGAAATAAAATGATAAAGGAAGATGATTTTCCATCGGATGCTACTTAACCTGTTATGATCACATCGGTCAAATTGTAACCATATATGAGGCTTCGATGTCTTGCTCCAGGTAACTCCCTACCTCGGCCATAGGAAGGCAGAGGATCAACAACTGGCCAATCATCAGGATTCTGAAACAATAAAAGATGATTTTATATCACTGAAACAACAGGTTAAATCCGGAATACCACCAAATTTCTAAGCCAGAATGGATCACAGGAAAGACCATGTAACTAAGTTGCAATGTTCTTTCAACATATATGGGTTAATGCTGTTCTGAAGTAAGCAAAAGATTCACCTTTGATCCAAGAATTACCGCATCCTTATCTAACCACAATGTCAGGTGACTGACGAGATCGAAGCTTCCTGTCAACCACCGGCCAGCTGGGACAAAAAGCTTGGCCCCACCTTTGTCAGCAAACGAATTGAGGTAGAAGATGGCATTCTGAAAGGCTTTCGTATTGAGAGTGACACCATCTCCAACCGCCCCGAATTCAGTAATAGCGACACTGTGAGGATGAATCTCCCAGGTTTCTGTCTGTTTGCAATGTGAGCTGCCCTTGACAGCCCATGTAATATGACTCAAAAATGTAACTACCAAAAGTACATTCACCATCTGAAAAGAAATGGTTTTAGACTTTAATATGAATGACTAACTCATAGTTTAAATTGCTTGCATTTCCTCATTGCTCGTTAGTTATTCCTGATTGACCATGATTTGACAATAAATTAATCAAGTAATTGAGTAAGTATGACCATTGAACAAACTCAGAGTTCAAATAACAGAAAATGAAAGCCAGATTAACAACAATGTGAACCAAATTAAGCCTGAAAATAAATTACTCACAGATTCATGGACAAAAGAAGGTATGCAAAGAGAGCCGGATCTAATCTATAATGGAAGAAGGAAATGCATTTACTCATAATTACTACCAGTCTCCCACACTTACGAAAGCTAAAATGAAGAATTGTTTTCCCATTTAGATCCTAACAGTGATCTTGTTCGAAGTCCAAAAACTTAGTGTTGTAGCAGAGAAAGAAAGCACAAATTTAGACGATCCCAGGAGAAAGAAGTAAAAACAGAAAGTCAAAAGCAGAAGCCATGATCGAATAACTTACATTGAAAGATCTCTTTATATCAAATTATGAATGAGATCTGCAACTTTCCCTTTCAGCCCAAGCACCTATGCAAAAAGCTTGGGATGTTTTCTTCTTCTGATCAAAGAATAAGGTCCCTTTTCTCTAGCTAGCTAGTAATCAAGTGTGTGCGAGTGAAACAGAGTATGGGTCATTATATTGGGTCACTGAAATAACCACCACCACCTAAATAAACATCATTGAAAGACCGTCGCTGCCCACCAAAAATTAAGCAGTATGTACCCTTATGTCTTCATTTGCTCGCTCGCTCCCCGTTCTTCTCTGTACACAATGGATGATAAGAAAAACGAAGAATTACCCAGAAAAGTTAAAGCTTTAAGGAAGCTGAAAACAGGCACATAATTGATGAGATGGTATACATATTTATATTCAGATGAACAAACAGAAGGGTGACAGGTTCTGTTTCCGGTTTCTATTTTGAAAGCTGATTTGAGTGAGTTTTATTTGGTGGGAGAGTTTCATGGAGATTAAAAAGTCATGGGTTGAGGCATATTCTCTCATATCTCATTCCATGTGATCTCACGCTTACAGTTAAGATCTTAAAAATTCATTGAAAAAAAGATAAAACATATTTATATTCATGAACAAACAGAAGGGTGACAGGTTTGTTCCGGTTTCTATTTTGAAAGCTGATTTGAGTGAGTTTTATTTGGTGGGAGAGTTCATGGAGATTAAAAAGTCATGGGTTGAGGCATATTCTCTCATATCTCATTCCATGTGATCTCACGCTTACAGTTAAGATCTTAAAAATTCATTGAAAAAAAGATAAAAAATAAAAATAAAAACACCCAGCCCTCACCTTAATCATCACGAATTATAAAAAAAAAACTATTTACTTTCTGTTTTTCAACCAGTGGTTCGATAAATACAATTATACATGATATTCATCAAACAAGCAAAATTTTTGATTTTGGGAGGATCAATGGTGTCGTTTGCTTTGTCCAAATTAGCCTTAATGTAACTGGCAGAACATGGCACTTGTAATTTGCTCTGTCCCTTTGCCTAAGCTACATAATCCAAGGATGGCGTTATCGAGGTTTCGAGTTCGAGAACAACGTCTTTAGAAATAATTGAGTGTTTATTATCAAATGATTGAGTTTTTCAACAAATACTATCTTATAATCTGTTCAAACTAATAAAAGAAATGTTACATAATCTATTATGAAGCATGTATTCAAAAGCAAGTTGAGTGGCAATATGTATATTTTGCAAATTCAGTGTGTGATGGCATAAACAATTTTGTCATGTGGAAAACAGAAGAGTTATGGATTTCACCAAACTTTTTTATGATAATAATTAAATTTCTTAGCTCTCTGTTTCAACCTGGGATAAAAGAAGGAACATGCGACCAGGCGTTTGATGATTGTATTGGACAATGGACATTTGAAAATAGTGAAATTACTGCAGCAGGATGCAGAACTGCCTATCTTTTTGTTTTCCTCCACCAAAGCATTGTTTTATATTAATACACTCAATTCATGCTTTATTTTTAATTATTGAATTTAAAGATGTAAATGAGAGGAGACGTATCACAAGTTACTCGAGTTAGATTTGATCAAAGTTCGATCAACACTTGATTTAAATGAGACTCGACTCGAGTTCTTAATGAGAGGAGACGTACATAAAATTTTTATGTACTTAAGGTTCAAGTTCGAATTTGACTTAGAGTTAAAATTTAACTCTAGTTCGAACTTCAATTGAGCTAAATATGATAATGTTTGGAATTCAAGTTTTATCAAGCTCATGCCGAACTTTAGTTTTTAAATTCAAATTCGAGTCGAACTTGATAATTTTAAATTCATAAACTTTCAAAATAAATCGAGTTTAATTTTAAACTTTTCGAATGGAGTCAAGTTTGAAGTCCAGTCAACTCATTTATGATTTACTGCCCTAATCAAATTGGGTAATGCTCAGAAGAAACGCTGTCGTATGCTCGTTGCAAACAATAAAATTGTTAATTAGTTAAAAAGGGTTATGATTATGATGTAACATAGATATTTCTCCTACGTGATAACATATTTGAAGTTAAAACTGGTGTTAATTGAATATTTAATATTAAATTATGTCTATTAGTCAATAATTTTTAATTATACGAGTTGAATTAAAAGAGCTTCATATCATAGTTTTTAATTCACCAAGAAATTACGCAAAAAAAAAACAATTTATTTTTCACAATATTTTTATTTTAGTGCAGGTGAGGACCACAACTCCACTTTGGAGAGATGCATGGACACTCGATCTTATATTTTGAAAATAATTCCGATGAGGTTCACTTGGGGCAACACCGACATGCACTGGAAAACTCTCCCCTCCTCCCTGACAGAACAATGGTCCCTCAAATTAGCGTACAAGTTCACCCTTTCTTTTTCTTTATTCACACTTCGATCATCTCCTCTCTCTCTCTCTCTTTAGGTATACGATCTCTTCTCTCTTTGATCATCTTACATTTTGAAAAAAATTTGGTTTTATTTACGTTATCGAGAGAGATTTATTTAGTGTTTTATATTGGCAATCGTTGTATTGACCCGTAAATCACGAAATATTAACATTATATTCTCGATTTTAAGGGAGTTGTGCATGGAGAATGGTCATGAATGTATCGAGGAGTGTTAGAGTGCAGTTGCACTCTTTAGAAATATCAAATTCTTTAATATTTTAGAGATTTTTTTTGTACTTTTTATTAATTTTCTAATTTCGTACATCCTAAAATTTATAACTCCGCACTTCTTAAATTTTTAATATAATTTTTTTGAGTTCGCATCTCTTGACATATATTTCTGCGTGTCCCTGAGGATAGGGAATTTGATTCAAGTTTGATAGATTTTGATCGATTTGATATAACAAGATTGATAGTATTTAAAAAATATATATGTTTATGTGGAGTTAGATTGAATTAAGTTCAAATTTAGAATGAAAAATCTTTGATCTGATTCAGATTAAAAATTAATTTTCTTTTATATATTTAAGAATAATTATTATAATATCAATCTTTTTATATTTTAAAATTAGATCCTATTTTACCTAATAAAAATAATATTTTTATATGTAAAGTTGAGTTCAATTATATGTAAATTTTTATCTCAAAATTTAAATCAAATTTATATTAGATGAAATCTCTCTAAGCTCAAATTAAATCAAACTCGAATGAAAAGATGTATATTTCTCAAATCAAATCAAATTAATCAAAAATTCTAACTTGACCCAAATCATAATCATCTCATTTCTAACTTGACATATAAAACTACTAATAGGAGTGTAACACCCTCAACTTGTATCCGACCCAGATACAAATCCAATGTGTCACTTTGACTTTTAAAAACATTGACTTTTAAAAACTAGTCAATAATTTGAACAATATATCATATCAAAGCGGTGAAACCCTTAAATAAAAGTAATCATAGAAAATTCATACTCAAATTTAAAAATAAATCTTAATAATTTACATAAATATAATCAAGTATGTTTTCAAAATTTGATAAGAGCATATTTGATTTAAATTTTCATTTACATGCCAACCAAAATAACATATAACAAAAGAAAATACAGCTTAAATCAATTCTGATCTGATCTTCTGTAGAGCTATGCTGTCTTGACTTGCCCTAATATTGATCTCCCGACTTCTTTGAACCTACATGTGAAAATCACTCACACGCTAAGTCGTTGACTTAGTGAGGCATACAATGCATAAATGAAATATTGAAACATATAATCACATACTTTCATAATGTACATAAAACATCATATATTTAATCAACAAGAATATATAACATTATGCATTTAACCAACAAGAACATATAACATTATGCATTGTTCATTCATGTGTTATTTCTTTTAATAGCCCATGGTACATTACTGAGAACTTAAGGTATGTGAGTGCATTGAGGTTGTGCACAAATGTTGTCACCGCAACTAATATAAATTACACCGAAGTGTCGTGTAGAATGTAACACCCCCAACCCGTATCCAACCCGGATACGAGTCCGAAGTGTCACATTGACTTTTCAAACATCTATTCGTATAAAATAGTGAGTAATTTAAAAACTTTGATAACATTTAACTTATTCAAAACGTTTACAAAATGTATCAGAGTTCATACAATTTATATCTTTAGACTACATGCCAACTACACTCTATAAACAGTACATATATTTTCTGATCTAACATTTGGTAAGAAAAACTGACATGTCTTGCTCCGCATTACTCTTTACTCTTCTCAAAACCTACGTGTGAAACAATCACACGCTAAGTCGAAGACTTAGTGAGGCATAACGACTTATAATGCACTTCATAACATATATCAATACATGCATGTTCTGTTCTATCATGTTATACCAATTCCATGCATTCTTCGTATCATATAAAATCATATCAGATTAATTACAGTAAATACATACATACACATAATTCATCATTAACAGTTTATCATGTAATCACATACTTTTATTGTTAACATTTTCAATCAAACACTATACACACACACAACATCATATGGTTCACGTAACACATTTCAAACCACTTATAAACCCATCGTATACATATCACATTCAGTATGCTTGTTTAATCACTTTATTAGCCCATGTACACTAGTGAGAACTTAAGGTATGTGAGTACATTGAGGTTGTGCACACATATGCTGTCACCACAGCTCGATCAATGTCCCGAAGGACCAGTCCATAGATTCCGAAGAACCTAGGTAATCAGTCCATATGTCCCGAAGGACATAGGTAAACAGTCCATATGTCCCGAAGAACATAGGTAAACAGTCCATATGTCCCGAAGAACATACATAGGTAAACCCTCGACCCTTGGCATGCCACTATACCCCTAGCTCTCATATCACATAACATGGGCATTTCATTTATAACAGTTCACATTACTTATTCATATTCTTTCTCTTATAACACATATCTTTTCTTTCAGTCACGTATCACATGTACGTGTAATCATTGATCTCATAATCAATGTTCCTTCTCTTCTATCACATACCACATGTATGTGTAAACATATATCTAATATCATATGTTGCATGTAATCACATAGATCGTATCATATAGTTTCTTCACATATACATGTAATCACTTAGTCTATTTTCATGTAATTATTTTCACTTCTCATATTTTTATATTCATATCTCACAGCTCATATCACCTTACATTGTTTCATATAAACATAGATGTCATATCTTGTTCGCATATATTTTCCATATAACTCATAGTTCTTTCACATAGCTCATTATCATTTTCATATCATATATCTTGTAAGAGATTCTTATATCATCATAACATATCACATATTCACATCAACCATATAATACATATATACATAAACATGTCAACACATAATCATACACGTATATACTTCTTTATGAATTCATGCATTTTACTATGGAAATAGACTTGTTGCAAGTCTGATTTCCATTTAACATCATATAATACTAATATGCACTCACCTGGCCTCACTAGTCCATTCCAATCTCTTATCTTCCCTTTTTATCGATCTTACTTGTCAATGATTCCGGAACTCGTTTAGGCTATGAATCTACATAATTATACATTTTAAG